CTGTGCTAGGAGATCTCTAGTGTGTTGTGTACAGCTTGACTTAAAAGGACGACGTTAGATCATGCTGACTGACAGTGCTTGCCCTCAGCTAACATCCAACTGCCTCAACCCAGAACCAGAACCTTCTCTTCCTTTCTACTAGACCCTTGTCACATGATGCTGTCCCCGCCCATCTGCAGACCCCACACCTACAACCAACACTGCCCAAGTGTCCACCTTTCCCGAAATCTAAGCCACACCCATCCTTAAGGCCTGAACAGCAGAAGTCTGCTGTCCAGTCTTCCAGGTGGGATGAAGCACTCCCGTCCCATCCTCTTAATGTATCTTGTAACTTTGCTAAAGACTCTAGTGCTGCCTTGTCTGGTGGTAGTTTCTTACATGTCTGCAAGCTTTCCTGTCAGGCCCAGCATATGACCCATCCTACAGTCTGCAGAAGTAGCTGGTTTTGGACTTGGGGAAGGAAGTGAAACATGGGGATACATCCTGTGATGCTCCCACTCCTCCCTCAACTCCTCAATGGAGACAGGAGCTGGGCTGAAAGAACTTCAATTGGCCAAATGCGGAACAATGTGAGTAATGAAAAAAATTATATATAGCACTGACTCATACACCAGTGGAAAGGAGGGAGGGATCCACGGCAGCCATAGGTTTAAAAAAAAAAAAAAAGCCTCCACTCAAAGAATGCCAGTGCCAAAAAGAAACTGTGAAATCAAATCATTTCTAACTGTCACATGAGATTGGTTCAGGCAAGATCCACAACGAGGTGCCAAACCTCAAGGACACTTGTTTGTTTGTTTGTTTGTTTGTTTGAGACAGGGTCTCCCTATGTAAGCCTTGGCTGGCCTGGAATTCTCTAGATAGACAAGATTAGCAAACTCCAAGATCTGCCTGCCTCTGTCTCCAGAGTGCAGGGATTAACAGCATATGCCATGGTGCCCAGGCTCTCAGGGACGTTCTGATGAAAAGTACTGACATACTGTCAAAGTCTGTTCCCCACACATGTGGCTTCCCAGGTGCACTAGCGGAGGTGGAGAATGCAGTGTGCACAGGAATCAAACAGCACCAACTCTGAGATGCTGAAGAACACCGAGCCTTCCAGAGTGAAGCTCCAGCAGAGCTTACCAGCACAAGAATTAGTGCAACTCAGGTCGCTAAGAAACAGAGAGGGGCGCTCTGATGAGGGGGCACTCTGACTTAAAGCCCAGGAACATTCGTGTGTGCACATGTGTGTACTCACACATGTGTGTATTCATGTACAACAGAGAGAGGGCCTTATTTTAAAATGTCAAAACTGTAAAAGATAAAGTTGGTAAGAATGTTCCAGATTAAAACAGACTAAAGATAATAAACATAATGCCTGATCGGGGACAAGGTGTTGCACTGAGGGGAAAGCAACTCTGGAAAAAGAGCATTACTAAATCAACACACACACATGGAACACGGACAGAGACCCAGGAACAGCACTGGAGTGAGCTCCCTGAAGCTGGATGTGCTGCTGGGACCGGCTGAACAGAACGGTATCTGTCTGTGGTCCCAGAGAACACTTTAGAGGAGGAAAAAGCCATGAAGATCACAACTAGCTCTCAGATGGCCTGAGAAAAATTATTACCAAATAGAGCTGAAAACAAGAACTAGGCCCTCTGCTCATTTGCTTGGATGGGCCCAGAAAATCTCTTCTTCTTGAAAATCTTTGAAGACTGAAGGGTGTCCAGAGCGGTAGTAACGGTCATGTGGGACTTACTTCACTGAACCTCTGGGAGTGGCCAGCAAACGCATCCCGACACACTGCCCAGGGAGTTCTCGTGGCGCCACACTTAGCCTCTAGTCTATGGGCTCCTAGATTCCATATATCTCTACTTCTCACAAAACTTAGCAAAACTGCCTTGAAAGGTCATCCCCAAAACACCTGTTATCGATAGTGAACGACAGACACAGGATGGCCACAGCAGCACATGAAGACAACAGACTGCAGAGCCCAGCCACGGCACCATGGGCTCTGACACAAACAGAAAACTTCCTCTGAAAACAAGACCGTGAGATTACCACAAGGTCATAAAAGCAGCACTGGCCCAGTGCAAAGCCTGCTAAGTTTCCACATACTAAAACATACAAACGTATACAAGACCTTACACTGGTACTTGACAGTTAATTCTGTGGTCTTGAGAAGCAAGGTCTAAACGATAACAAAGCCATGCTGAGGGGTCCCACCACACAGCATTTAGGTGCTGTGCATGGCCCAGACTTAGAACATCCTCTAGGTGGCCTGAGCAGACAAGACTTGCAATAGGAATGATCAATTCTGTCACCCTGTCAAATAGGAACTCAACAAGCAAGCCTGTTCTGTGTAGCTGTCTTCTGTCACATGGACTGTGGAAGACACTCTAGGACGCAGGACCAGCCTAGCCATACCACATGCCTTTTTCTAACTGGCACCTGGGAAGATTTCACAGGAAAAGGATGTTCCATTGGGATTGTTGACATAAAGGTTATCTAGTCACAGTGAGACAGAGGAGAGATCATCTTCAAAATCCACCTACTTATTGCAAGTCCAGGGACTGTTCTGGCAATTAACAATTCCTATCACCTACAGCCGTCCTGTGTGAGAAGGCTCAGAGCTCGCCTTACAAATTGCTCTTTTGAAGATCAAAGGGAGGCTGAGTGCGTCTGTGTGTGCTCTCGATGAGACTGTAATTTAATGGAATTTTTAGAGAAGCTTTGCTGGCAGTGCTTGGATGACAGCCCTGAGGCGGAGGATTCTGGGGAGCTTGGCCACTCTTCCCTTTGGAGCGTCTTCTCTGCCTTTAATTGGCACCTCATTAGAAATTAATGAAAATGACATCCTCTGTTCTTCCTGCTCTAGGCACTGAATGCTACAAAAAGGCCCATCACAATTCATAACACATTCCATTTATATAGCAATGGCTCTTAAGCATTATTTATGAGATGTGAATTTCTTGTCAGCAGTTAATAACCTGTACAGAATGGAAGGGGAATGGAAGAAAAGATGGAGAATATCCATGGAGAATGATTGCTCTGTAGTGGAGAAGTATTCTGTTTTCAGTTCAGCTATGTTGAGTCTTCACTCTCAATACTAAGTATGTTTCCCTCTAACACCTTCCAGGGCAGCTCCTATCTTCCCAACCTTCCATGTGTCCTCAAGGAAATCGTACAGCACAGCACAGCACAGCACAGCACAGCACAGCACAGCACAGCACAGCACAGCACAGCCCAGCACAGCCCACCCTTTGCTAGAGGAACCCCAGCAGGCATCAGGAGAGCAGCACATCACAGTTTGTCAGAGCCAGCCTCAGAGCGCATGTTCTCCTGCAGCTCTTCATCTGTAAACAGGGGCAGGTGACATGGTCGTCTTTCTGAGCTCATAGTCTAAGGCTCTCCATGAGGCAGAGTGCACGCCAGCTCTCCAGGAGGGATCCCCCTACATGGACTTCTCTCTTAGAATTGGCCAAGGACGTGCATGCTGTTCCATAACTGAGAAAGAGCTCAGGTCTACAGTGAACCCCACTTAGAGACCCAGCCTCCTGGTTAGGGGTGGAGGTGACTGAGACACTTTGACGGCACAGCTGACCACAGTGAGAGGCACTGGGCCGTCAGATAACTACTTGACTTCTTCAGCTGGGTGCTGAGACCTGTGGAAACTGAGTGGTCTGCATCAAAGCTGCAGCGCTAATGTAGAGCCCTGGCTCTTCTAAACTACTCTGTGAACTTCCTTGCCTGCCCGAAGAGGAAAGGTAGCATTAGCCACTGCCAGAGGCAAGGCAGCGAGCACGCCATGGACTACCTGCTTGATCTCCCTCAGCAAGCCCTACATACTGCCAAGCACCCAGTCAGAGAAGAAAAGAGACTATTTCTACCTCTCTAACCGAGAAACAAGCAGTCAGTATAATAAGGGCAGGAGGGGCTAACAGAAGGGAGAGCTGAAGACAGCGCAGCCCATCCCAACACACAGGAACCTCGGATCACACAGACCTTCAGTATGGAGCGAAGCCTGCAGACTCCAAACTTCCTCAGCTCGTCACAGAACTCTACCCTGCCTCGCTGGGCCACACCACGGGCTGTGGTATAAGCCGAGTCTAAAACCCTGCAGACAGTGTCTGCTCTCACTACCCAACTCTCTTCTTTATTCACAATTCACAGCAGAAGTGAATACCACACACCGCCTCCCTGTCCCCAAGCTGAGGGAGGGACAGTGACAAACATAGAGGGATTGTGCCAGAACAGCTGTCTCAACCTAATTTTGAGAAGCCAGTCCACCCCATGCTTCCTTAGTTCCACAGCAGATAGCTGAGGCACAGAACAGAAAAGGTTCTCTTCAGAAGACAGACAATGCCTCCAAACTCCACAACTCAGCGAACTGTGCGGCCCCGTTCCAATACCTTAATGTAGGCCAGCTTCAGCTCAACAGAGGCGAGCAGAGATAAAGCCCGCCTCTTGGAATCGAAGGGGAGAATTCTCAGAGCCAGGCGCAGAGGCTGCCAGATAAAAACTCTATTCCACAGACCAAGTGACAGGAAAACTGTGAGCCTAAAATAATATAGCTACCATTTTACCTTTGCGACATGATATATGTGGTCACTAAGAAAAGCAGAATTTGCCTATGTTTTTGTTTCAGTGTGTGCAAGACACAGTTTGGTAATCACGTCCGTGCGTAGAGTCCTAAGAGGCGTCCCTGAGCTCAGCAACGGAGGAGGAAAGGGGACGTTGCTGCCGCCGCCTCAAGCTAGTCCCTCAATGGATCCATGATGGCTCCACAAGGAAAACATCTCAGCAAGCCTTAACTGAAAGGGGCGTGGGGAGAAATGTACTAAAAGCTCTTCTAAGTGAACTTAAGTCTCTGGCACCCTTCGCAGACTTGTTAGTTTGTTACTTTCTAAAGTCTTGACTGGAGAGCAGCCATGACTGAGTGGAATGAGGCCACCAAGCAGCAGCCAGTGTGAGGGAGACAGAACGGACCAGGACGGTGCCTTGGGGAGGGCGCTCACCACAGCGACAGGATCCCAGTTCCTGCTGCACCAGCTCCAGCTTGGTCTGGCACTGAAAGCACCGGCGCCGGCTCTTCTGCTTCGACCGGCTGCTCTCCTCAGGCCGCTCGCTGTTCTCTACTAGTCGCGGTCGTTTCACGGGTGAGGCCTCGTTCTCAGACTGCGAATCTGACCAAAACAAGATATTTGGGGATCAGGAGTGTTATCTGGCTGGGCAGACTCAAGTCTCCACAATTAGTTCCTCACACTGCAGTCAAACGACCCCCCAGTCACTCTGCCTCAAACCACTGACAACCCTTTTCAAAGAAGCGCCTATCAAGAACCTGCACCTGCACGATTGCCTGCACCCTGTCTTCCCTCTGAGTCTTGCCCATCCATACCTGCCTCCTGACTGCCTTGACCTCTGCTCTCAGTACCGCCCTGTCCTTCCCCGACACTGCTCACCCAGGCCCGCACAGAACCTCCTTAAGCCTTTGCTCCAGTCAAACGGTCAACTAAGTCTTGTGCCTGGACTGACCCACGTGGACACCTATCCCTGTCCACAGTAAGCCAGTCCTCTCTTCTGCCTTACAGTCATCCCCCTGAGGGGAAGCATGCCCCATGAGGGCTAGGCCTGTAACCCAACTAGACGGCAAACACTAGGAGATTAGTCCAGCACCTCTGGCTGGCTGTGAGGCATTGCCATTAGTGTACTCAAGCTGTAAGGAGACCGGGTGGAAGTGCTCCAACTGTGCAAGGCAGGGGCTGGCTAGGAAGAGAGGTCCCTGGGTATGTCACCTGGGGGGACTATCTTGCCCTGGACTCTTCCTGTCTACCAGGATGTGAGGGAGCACACTGAAGAGGGGAGCCCTGTGGCATTCACTGGCATCGAGAAGGTTATGTAAACAACACACACCCTCCCTTCTGCATCAGCTGGGACTTCTGAAACCACAAGCAAACCAAGCCTCAGACCCGTGCCTGCTGGGCATCTGTCACAGGGATGAAAACCACATATCCGTTCATCATGCTACAGCGGGCACTAGACGGATGGGCAAATCCTCTTCTGTCAGTCCTGGCTCTCTACTTGAAGGGGCTTTTTGAGAAGCTGGAGCATGCTGGGACATGTTGGCATAGGCTATCTCTGCACCCTTTGCTGGTATCAGCCCTGAACTTAGTGATGTCACATCCAGGTGACCCTACATCATTGCCAAGGCAACCGCCATACACTCCCAGAATCCACCTGGCTACCTCACCTTTACCTGGGAAAAGGCTACGTCACCGCCCATATAAATAGGCAGAGCCCCCTGACCTTGCCGTCTCTTCTCCCCACCATCTTCTTCCGTTTCTCTCCCCACCTTTGCCTTCTGCCCTAAATAAACCCCCTCCCCTCGTGGAACCGTTTGGTCTGGTGTGGTCTGTCCTAAGCTGCGCGCCAAGCTGCATGTCAAAATCTAACACCCTTCCCCAGCCTGTTCTGTTTGGAACGGACAATGTGTCCACAGCCCTGGCCCCTGCCACCCAGCACAGACGGCCCACACCGGTCTCTACAAGCACAGGATCTGCTCTCACCTCACGCAGCTCTCCCCACCCTGGGTGACATTTCCCCAACACAGACCACTATATAAGCCCTCGGATGAAAACAACTGAAAGCAAGCTCAGCCTGTTTCCCAGCTCTGCTGAACAAAGCTGTCCAGACCCAGTTAGACTAGTGACTAAGGCCACCACACAGGCCAGGCCCCTCCTTCTGCCTCCGCAAGAGCAAAACCCAACAATCTAAATGTAAATCACAAAACAGCCGGCCAAAAGGAATTCACCTTGCATGAGCCACACTGCTCTCCTGGGGGTCCTTTTCCACAAAAATGGCACTATTTGTGATAATAACCCTATTTAGGTAGCTAACGGAAAACCTCTACTGCATGTCCTATTTCAAGGATCTCTTTTTAAAGTAATGTCCCTTAACCTGAGATAAGAGGTGTGGGCCAGACAATATCGAGACAAGTTGAAAACTTTTATAAAAAATTATTATGAAAAGGGTGCAGAGAGGAGGAGAAGGAAGGCAGGAAGGAAGGAAGGAAGGAAGGGAGGGAGGGAGGAAGGAAGGGAGGAAGGAAGGAAGAGGAAAGAGTAGAGAGGAGAGAGGGAAGAGAGGAGAGGAGTGTGTGTCACCTACACCACACGTACATGGAAGACCTCTGAGGCCAGGAGAGACTGTGAGGTTCCTCGGAACTAGAGTTATGGTAATTACAAACCAGCTGGTACAGGTTCTGGGAACTCAACTCCAGTCCTCTGGAAGAGAAGGAAGAGTTCTTTATCTCTGAGCCTTCTCTCCAGACTGAAAACTTTAACTCGGGAAGTACAGACAGACAGATCTCTGGAAGTTCAAGGTCACCTGAGTCAGCATAGCAACTTGCAGGTCAGCTGGACTACAAAGTGAGCCCCTGCCAGTTGAATGAATGAACAACCAAGCTATACGTAGAGGCTACACATAGTGCTAATGTACTTATAATGTAAAAAGAAAAAAAAAAAAAAAAACAGCCCTCAGACCATGGGCCTCTTTCACCTCCACCTCTGACAGGTACACTCCTCTATAAAAGCACCACGCTGGAATTCAAAGCTCCTTTGAGAACTTCAGCCCAAATGGCCAAATGTGCCACCTACTGGGGAGCACACACTTCCCTTTTAGGTGTCAATAACACTGAAGAGAGGAGCCCTGCAGCATTCAATGGCATCAAGAAGGTGATGTGAAGAAAAGCATGTGGCCGTGGCTGGACACCAAACTTCATGTCTGCATGGTCTTCCTGCCAAGGTATTTTCACTGCACCTGCTTTGGTGGAGTCCCTCAAAGTTAGGACGGTCCAGGCTGGATCTCTTCTCTGAATTTCATCTAATCGGACCATGTGCAAAGCAGTGCCAACAGTAATGCTAGGGAACAAGTGCACGGCCCTGTGCTCAGAGTCCCTTTAGCCATTTAAACACTGAGAACTTACGCTTTCTTGTAGACAACACATAGGAGGTATTCTCGGACAACAGGGTCCGTGGGAGGCTGGCTACAAGGGACTGGCCATCTTGCACAACCACTGGGCCCTAGTTGTTTCTCCAAGAGTCGGCATCCTTGCTTCTGTGTCAGTGGACAACTAAACCATCTATGTTTGCAGCTGTGCTGTGAGCGGCAGTCTTACGTGACTCTAGCATGTAAGACCACAGTAATGGGTCTCAACCTTCCTCATGCTGTGACCCTTTAATACAGTTCCTCATGCTGTTGTGACCCCAACCACAGAATTACTTTTGTTGCTACATCATAACTGTAATTGTGCTACTGTTGTGAATCAACCAATATCTGATATACAGAATATCTGACATGTGACTCCTGTGAAGGGTCATTTGACTTCCAAAGGCGTGTAAAGCCCCACAGGCTGAGCACCACTGCTCTACACCAAGACCAACGGCACAGCAGACTGTGTTCTTAGAACGAAGGCGCTCTTCCCTGACGCTAGGATCCTCAGCACTGAGGGATGCTCTGGGACACTGACGGTCTCCGCCTGGTCTCCGCCCTCACCGACGCCCTTACATTAAATGGAAAGAAGCCCTGGTGTGAGGAGTGGATTGAGACCCTCCCACTGTCTGCTGCATGCCGCCATGGGGAGGGGGGGCTGACTGCACTGTATGTCACTTCTTGGGGAAGTCAGTCACTCTCTGACACTTTTCTTACAGGTCAACTTGGTGTTTTAATTAGAAGCTAATGAAATAAACAGAAGTGTACAGGCTCAGCATCATGGCTATGGAAGAATTTTATATCTCCTCTGCTAATTAGTTAATGAAACCTTGTGCCGTGGGGTAAATTACCTAAATAAGAGAAACAGATGTCTATTGTAAGGATTCTAATTACATAATAATGACCTAACTAATTCAACTAGTCAATTATACATTTTAAGTCAGTTACAAAAAGACTCTCAGGAAAGACCTAAACATGAGTTAACAGTAAAAACCAAACCTTGATTATCTGCCTTCTGCTTCTAAGTTTCAGCCCCTCTAACGTGCAACGTTTTCAGTTTGGGGATCAATGGCAGAAACCATCTAATTAATCTATTTGCATATGCTGAACTTGGGCAGTAAGGGTTAAGTGTGGAGAGCAAGGTGAACAGAAATAACTCTCACACTCAGCTTTAACTGTCAGAAGAACCCGTCCTGGGAAGGAGCCTGCTCATTAGCAGCAGGAGGAGCTGCAGTGGCAAGCTAGATCCCGTTCCCACCCCAGGAGTTAGGAGTGACTTCTAATTAAGGTCCTTCATAAGGAGCCAACAAAGCACATTTTCTCCAGTGAGCTTCCTCTTGAGAACTACTCTAGGCTGGGTAAGGCCACACCAGCGGCACAGCCCCACGCCAGGCTCTCAGCACTGCAGACCCCTCTTCTCGGCCAGTGTGTAACAGTGACCGGGGTACAAAGGGAGACCTTCCAAGAAAACTTCCACCCATTTAACCCGTGTCCAATTTCTTGGTCTGAAGGCAACCACTGCTCATCACGTGACAGAGGGAACAAGTGCAGTGTTTTTAAAAAACAAATGTCTACAAAGAAAATCCCCTCTAATTGGAATGTGCTAGCCAAGAGCAGACAGTAACTAGCGCCGAGTCTTTCAACTCAGGACTGCATTTACAGCTGAAGCCTGACGACAACAAACAGGGCTGCTCCTTTCCAAGCTGTTTGTCTCTGACAGAGACCCACGTTTGCTCCGTACTGTCACTGTTCCTGTCTTTATTACTCGTGTTCTCTCCTGAAAATTTCCAAATGAATTGTGTCAGGTCTGTCAAAACCCGCATCCCGTCTCTCTTACTCTCCTGGCACGGTGCAGCTGGCATCCCGCGCCCACCCCAGGCTGCTAACAGGAGCTGTGGCCTGCTGACACCTCAGGGGGCACACACCCTCACCACAGAGCCCCAGGGCCAGAGACAACCTGCAACAAAGAAGAACCCTCCCTTTTACCCACACCTTCCACGCAGCCTAGAAACAGAGGAGCCTGTCCGTCTCAGGCTCAGTGGCAGCTTTGAGGTACTCAATCAATTTTTTTAGACCTATCACAGTCTCTTGACAGACTGACATTTATGATGCCAGCAGCCTGTGCAGACATCAGTAAGAACAATAATTAATGAGCCCGCACATCACGGCTGTCTCCCCGCCACATTTACAGGAGCTA